CTTTACAACAATAAGGTTGTGAAGGTCTTGAGAGCTATGGTTTTATTTCTTTGTATGTATGGATCACTTGGGTTGTTACCAACATCTGGTGAAAATTTCATGTCATTAGCACCTCTAGTAATATATTTACTGAGAAAAATGTTGACGTGTTCAACACTTATTTTACCCGCTGTATATAGAGTTAATATTGACAAAATCTGTGTGTGAGGGCAGAGGAAAGAATTTTTCTACAGAGGCAGATTTTTAACGTTACTGACAGTAAAAGTTAAGAGTTGTCCCCACTGTCTCTGAAAGTAAAGCACTGCCATATTTACACGTTGCTGTACGCTTTCTCCTGGTTGTTGTTGTTTTACAGTGATATTATTTATGAATAATGTAGCCAAATTTTTTACTGAAAATTTTGAAGACATCCTTTACCGTTCCCAGAGAACCACGGTTCACTTTCTGGGAGTGCTGTGTGTAAGTGACGGGGGGTGCGGATGGCTGACATCTGCTAACAAAAATACATAAATAGCAACGAGTCAGGTTTGGATTTGAATCAGTTTTAACTCCAATGAAAGCAAGATTGTTAACAAGTAAATTGGACACAACATTCTGGCTATTTAGTGATATTTCCACAGTTGTGGTCTTGACTGGTCTGGAAATAAAATTCCAAGTCCTCAATGTCCGAGACCGAGACAAGACTGAGTACAAATGCTATCGAGTCCAAGACGAAACCAAGACCATCAAAAGTGGTCTTGAGACTGGTCTTAAGACCAAGACCAGTTTCAAGTTCTACAACACTACTGATTACAGTTCTTTACTCTGTTTATTTATGCAGCCAACACATCTGGGAATGATCGAAAGTAAAACAACTAAGACTTTACAAAATTAAATTTAAATACTGAAGGAATTATTGGGGTTTCTGTACCGTAGTACACTGATTGTAATTACACTACACATGGTATAGTTTGTCTTATGATAGAACTGTAATGACTGATAAATGTGATTTATAATTAACTTGATGATTCTATATTAATAGGTGCATGCATGATAACAAAAACAACACATATTTGTATTTTTAATATCATTAGGATAGGTTTTTAATTGTTTGTGGGCATGGCTTTGACCAAAATGATAGGGACCCCCTCCCTACTGACGACCTAATATAGGCGGAGTCATGCCCTGAAGCTGGTACTGCATTAAACCAGTTATCAGCGAGAGCTCTCGGTTCTGTGTGGTCTACTTTCACACTCACATTTGAACATTTCTCATTATGATTTCGCACACATCCTGTTAACAAACACGAATAACGACTATTTCTTTCAATACCTTAGATGAAAATCTGATTCTTTTTAAGACTTTTCAGGCCTAAAATTTTGGTTTTCAAATTTTAGACTGCTTAAGACCCTGCACAAACTCTGTAAAAGTCAAATTACTGTATTTATTCATGTATAATCCTAGAAATTTAACCCTAAAAATCATCCATAAAGTGGGGGGATAGTATTATACACAGGTTAATTAGATTTTTATGCTTTGTAAACTCAAAAAATGATCGTATCGTACTCGAGATTGTATTATACATGAATAAATACGGTACTTCTTAATTTCAGCTTCTTGAAAGTTAAGAAATTTGCTTTTTTTTTCAGGTTTAAGTGGTTGCTCGGTTAGAAAAGTTTCCTCGACATTTGTGCTTGAAATAATGTGCTCAAATATAATTAATTACTTTATACAGTACAGAAACCTTTTTATAAGGCTAAAAAAAACTAATAGAAACAATAAACCCAAATGTAGAAAAGTAGAGAAAAAAGTTTAATTCTGCCCCTAGTAAGCAAATAATGAATATCAAAAAGAAAAAATAAGTAGGTCCTCTGGACGGGTTCTTCTTTAGTGAAACGTTTCGTTTCTCCTCCAAGAGACTTCTTCAGTCTGATGAGTTTCAGGTGAACTCAGCTTTATAAGCACTGCCTCCACATGGACAAACAGGTTAGTCACATGCAAAAGAGGGCCAATCGACTTACAATAGGCTTGATTAGCTCTATTGTACGTCTCACTAAAGAAGAACCCATCCAGAGCACCTGCTTATTTTTTCTTTTTGATTTTTTTCTACCTGGATTAAGTGATGCATCAGAACAAATAATGAATAAATCTGAGATTCTTCATTTAATTCAAGGTTTTATTGCGAGACAGAACATGTGATTAGGTTCAGTCTGATGTGTCAGAAACATCACATAATCTGCCTCCCAGCTTTAGGTTGCGGTTCCTTCCGACGTCTGCAGAAGCTGCAGAAGCTGCCTCCTGCCCTCAAACAGGAGTATGCTGGCCGCCATGGCCGAGTTCAAGCTGTCCACACCGGGAACGATGGGAATACAGAGCCTGAGACCGTGGGTTTTTCCCGCCAACTTGACCGCGTTCTTGCTCAGGCCATGCGTCTCGCCGCCGATGACGAGCGCCGTGGCGCTCTGGGCCCAGCTGTTGTGGTACAGCTTGGTTTCCACATTGGGGGTCTCGTCATCAAAGTCAGAATCAGAATCAGAATCAGAGTCGGAGTCAGAGTCTGTGTCGTATTCCTCGTACAGCACTTTTTTCTTGTTCGGCATCGAGCTGACCCAACCGTAGTCTCCTGCTTTGTGAGACACGTGTTCCTCGGTTTCTGTTGGTGTGCTGGGGCTGCTGTCAGCCACGTGGACCACCACTGGTTTAGGGAGATTATCTTCAACCTCATCCCAGTCCAGACTGGGATAGATAGGAAGACGGAAATGTGCGCCCATGGCTGCACGGAGAACTTTAGGCTCCCAAGCATCAACACAGCCTGTGGGCAAATTAAAAAGTGTTTAGGAAACTTTATAGACAGTCAGGATATTTTTATTTATATAACGGAACAAACCTTTGGTGAGGAGGACTTTATTACAGCCAGCAGCGGCGGCAGATCGTAGAATGGTTCCGAGGTTACCCGGGTCCCGGATGTTGTCACATATCAGCGACAACGGCACTGATTGACCTCTTTGTGAAAAGTCCAAGTTAGCTGGGTCCGGACGAGAAAATATGGCTGGAAAAGAAGAAATCAAGTTGTTGTTTTTTTTTAGGAAACCTCTCAGTGCTTCAGAGCAAAACGTTCAACCGTTCCTCACCGATGACTCCTTGCGGAGCGACAAGATCAGACCAGATCTTGAAGTCCTGATAACAGACTTTGATTAGTTTGGCACTCCTCAGCTTGTCCAGAGGCAGCTTTTGAAGCCGTTCCATGGTCGTGAAGAACACCGTCTTCGGGCTGGCGCCAGCCTCCAAGGCGTCGCAGATCAGACGCTGGCCCTCCAGGACGATTTTCCCTTCCTTCTCCCGTAAAATTCTGGACCGGGAAATGGTCACTAACTTCCTGCAGGTGGGAACAGAAAGAACGAAGCAGCATTAACGTCCGAGTTATAATTTACATTTTCTTTGAACATCACCTTATTTATGATGATGGTATGCAGCTGAACTGAATAAAACACTTTCCACAACAAAACAGTTTAAATCTTGTTCAGTCATCCATCTGAACAACTTACACTGAACTTTAAGTTCATTATGGTTATTATTACTTTAGTTGAACAATGTCTGGTCTAAAACATTTTATTTACTCACGATAATCTTTTGTCTCCAGGTGAAGCCTTCTCGAAGATAAGTTCATCAGGTGAACCCTCTGAAACAGTAGCTTGTGGTTGTTTTATAGTCGTATCTTGCTTTGTTTTAGGAGTGACTTTTGTCGCATTTTGTTTCGCTGTTTTATGCGGCGGCGGCTTCACCGCCTTACCCGTCTTTTCTTCAGGGAACAAAACCTTGACGGGTTTCCTTTTCAGTGCGCGCACATACCGTTTTGACTGAACGATAATATCGCTCCTTTTGCTCAGAAAACAAGTTCGCTCTATGGAAACGAGACACAACGCGCCTTTCAAGAACGCAGCCATCTTATCTTCTTCTTCTTCTTCTTTTGTCCAGTCGAAGCTGGTGTTCTCCTCCTTACTGCCACCAGCTGTTTGCTAGCTGCAACTGCACGTTAGTTCCCCCCAAGAATACGCTAAATAATTTATACATTGAGAACAACGTAACTGCCCAAAATATTTTTTGTTAAATACTGAATATAGCTAACGGTAATCAGCTTTATATTTGCTGAAACTATCTAAAACCAATTAAGCAATTTTACTGTAATCTCGCGATAATTCAATAGGCGATCTCATCAGAAGTTTAAATAAAGTTTATTCAAACAATATATGTTTTGTATGAATTAGTTTTACTTGATGACATTAGAACGTGTAAGGGTTGTAAGTATCGGTGTGAGTAGTAGTTATGAGTTTTATTTGATAGATTGTATTTGGTAAAGTCGAAGACGGATAAATCGTTCCAGTTCACATTTTTTACCAGATGGTGGCGGTAATGGTCCAACCGCTACATAAGAAGGAGAAGAAGACCGAGAAATCGGTCAACAAGGAAGCTCAATCGCTTACCGATAAAGATGGCTTTGAGAAGAATGTTGCATTTTGTTTTCAAAGTTGGTGACCGGGCCAAAACAGCCACGTTTTATCGAGATGTTCTAGGCATGAAGGTAGTGATGGGCAAATGAAGCTTTTCTGAAGCACTGAAGCTTGCTTTGAAAAAGGGTTCATTACTCGAAGCTTTCCAACACAGTTCTCTTTGGGACCATCTTGTGGCCAAAAATATGAAAAGCTGCTTGAAACGGCACAAAGTGAAGCACTTCATCGTGATGGAGATGACAGCTTTTTAA